TTTGAAGGGGGGGGGGGGGGGGGGTAAAAATATACATGTAAATCTCCTTTAATATGTTGATGACACTCTTTTCATGAGGGAAGCAACTTTTTCCAATGTGGTGGTAATCAAAAGCATGCTTAAATGCTTTGAACTTGTTTACGACTTGAAGGTCAACTTCTATAAAAAAAACATCTTTAGGACTATTGGGGGTAGATAATGAAGTGCAAGAAAGGTACGCGAATTTTCTAGGTTGTAAAATGCTGATCTTTCCTTTCTATTATTTAGGGATTTCTATAAGTGTAAACCCTAGTGTTGGATCCACTTGGAAACCGATTGTAGACATATTGTTTAAAAAAGTGTTCCTATGGAAACATAAGATATTATCTTTTGCGGGAAGGGTGTGTCTCTTTAACTCGATACTCACATATTTTCCATTATTTTTCCTTTCTTTCTTCAAAATGCCTAAAAGTGTTGTGGGGAATCATTAGTCTCCAAAAAGACTTCTCGTAGGGTTGTGAGGAAGACAAAAAGAAAGTACAATGGGTAAACCTTAAACTAAAGGATTGTGGGAGACTTGGGAATAAAAAAACATTTCTTTTATTTAATGCGACCCTTTTGGTTAAATGGAGGTGAGAACTTTTTCATCACAGGGGAACACTATGGTGTGCAATATTGGTGTCTAAATATGATGTATGGAGGGGACTTTTTTGAGTGGAACTTAACAAATCATCATCTTTGTGGTGGAAGAATGTGCGTAAGGTCTATGGTGGTCAAAATAATAACAAGTGGTTTGATAGCATGATAAAGTGGAAGATAGGGGATGGAGAGAAAGTGATGTTTTGGAGAGATCTATAGCTTTGAGATCAATCCTTGGAAACATATTATACAAGGACATAACTTTATTCTTAACAAAGATGACAAACAATGTGAGGGTGATTCTTGGAGATTATTTTTTTGTTGGTGGAGATAATGGTTCAAGTATGAAATAGAACAACTTAATCGCTTCCTTTGTTAGTTGGAAGACCTCATGCATTATAAGGAGATTCGTGTTTATTGGGAGTGGCTAAAAGAGAACATATGACCTATATTAAGTGAGATTGTCATACAAGGCTTACATGTTTCCTTGAATCCATCACATGAAGAATAAATATTTTTTCAATTATAGAAGTTGCAATTGCCGTGAAAGTTACTTTCTTCTTATGGAGGGTTATGTTGGATAAACTAGCAACGTGACAAAATTTGATAAAGAGAAATATTATGGCTAATGATGAGAATCTATCATGCCCTTTTTGTGAAAAACAAAAGGAGTCTTTGAGCCATGTTTTGTTTGGGTGTAATATTATTATAGAGATTTATGATTCATTATTCTCAATGTTTGGTATTCGATTTATTTCCCTTACATTTGCAAAGGCACATTTTTTGCAACACATTATGTTACGAAGAAACAACATTGCACACATTTGGTGGAGATTTGTTTATTGTTTCATAATATGGACAATATGGAATAGAGGAAATGAACGTGTCCTCCAAAACAAGTGTGTGAATCCAAAAGAAATTACACATGAGCTTTTTTTTCACTGTTGGTTATGGTTAAAGGCATATGATCCTACCTTTTGTTACTTGTTCACTTGATGGAATGCAAACAAAATTGCATGTATTGTGGACAAATAAACCACATAGTGGAAATGATGTAGGAAAACGGTGATGTGCATGTAAGTATCAATGATCATTTAAATGGAATACAATGTTGCATGATTGAGGGACACTAATCTAATGATGATAAAGTTGCATGGATAACTTTTGGATGCCAACAACAATATGTTATGACTTTTTTGGTGGGAGTCAACATTTAATATGACATGTTAGGGGTAACGATGCACCTATTGCAATCTTTGGAGTAAATATGGTTACGTAATATTTTTATTAACTTGTGATGAATATAAAGTAATAACATGGAAGACTCATAGGACATTGTTTTGTCAATTACTTGTTGCTTAATAACCTGCTAAACGGTATGTCATATATTTGGATATAATATGATTATATATATATATATTATAACTTTTAGTTGACAAAAAATAATATTTTCAACTATCATTTCAATTTCAATGTTTTACATTTATTTGAAATCTTTTTTTTCTTACTTGCTCTTCTCAAACCTAATCTTCTTACTTCTTAATCTTAATTTATTTTTCAAACTCTTAACTTATTTACGTTTGTGCAAATTACTTTTTCATTATTTTTTTTCTTGAAACTTAATCTTTTTAATTATTTATGCTATGCTTGTAGTTTTGATCACATACAAAATGTAAACTTTAACATTTCTCACACCCTAAAGTTAAAAAATAATAGGTTGTTAGTTCAAATAAAAAAAATTCACACGATTTTTGGAGGATTCGAAGTTTTACTTAAAAAATTATTTGTACTTAATTTGTAGATTTAAACTCTACCAAAAATAGTATGAAAGAAGAAACTGACATCCTTGTCTATGACCTAAAAGTAGGAATTGGGTGGATAATAAAGTGAATTCACTTAAAGAGAAACACAAATATACATATTTTGACTATGCTTTAATTGATCAAAAAATATATTAGAGTAAAAGGGAAACAATTTATTTTATTGTATTATTCTTTATCTATCAATTAAGTTATAAGATGAAAACTTAGCTCAAAAATTAAATAGTTCTCTTATTCAACATGTATCAAAGTCACTCGCAATAAGGAATGACAAATAAACTTGTACTTGTGGATAATATATAAACTCATCTTAATTTTAACAAAAAAACACTTGATTTGATTAAATACATGTATGAGTATCAATAATATTTGATTTGTTAAATTAAATATAAAAATAAATATATAATTATCTATCACGTATTTATCTCATTTTTAAATTTATAAAAATTTAATTTAATTTATTAAAAGATTTACTTGAAATTTATATAATAATTATTTTATTTTAATTTATATTAAATAAAATATAATTAATGTAATTTTGTGTGGAAAGAGTTTCGCCTTTGTCTATTTATTTCCATCCAAATAAAAATCAAACACAAGGGCAAGACTCACCGATGGGCAGCGTTGTAATTTCAATACGAGGGATGGATTCAGTAATCGGGTCAGTTCAATTAGGGCACGCTTCGAGTAGGTTCTGAAAACGCAAACCAGTATATCTAGTCTGCGCTTCATCCCTGGAGCTTCGGTTCTCTTCTCTTCTCTTTTCCACCAGTGTTCAGCATCAGAACCCATCCATCTTCTATCCCCTTGTTTATCGGCGCATGCCACAGGTTCAACCTAAGTGCTGCTCCGAATCCACCTTTCTCTGCGCGTAGATTCTCGTTCGCAATCTCCGCCACACACTCTTCTCTCCGTTCGGTAACATTGGCATCAGAAGATGTCGGGCGGTTTCTTTCGAGTTAGTATTTCGCCACCGTTGAACTTGCAATTACTCTTTCTCCTGTTCAATTGAATCGGACCTAACTTATCTCAACATTTCTCAGATCTTCTGTGTTCCATTTTTTACTTGTTTCGCTCGTCCTTGTATTGTTGTGTTATCGTAATTGTAGCGTGTTACTTAGCTTGTGGACTGTACATGTTGAATTTCGTATATAGGGCACATCCGCGGATCAGGACACTCGGTTTTCGAACAAGCAAGCGAAGCTGATGAAATCGCAGAAGTTTGCACCGGAATTGGAGCATCTGGTCTGTTTCCTTGGTTAACTTTGATCTGTAGATTTTGTTAGGGTTTTTCGAAGTGCTTTTGCTGTTTGGAGCGACGAGGATTATCGTTTATATGAGCTTGATAAATAAAATTTGTACTCATTGCCTTTCTGTCTGCCACTTTCTGTAACAAATTCAGATATGCTTGTAATATGGTTTAGGTGGACATGACGAAGGTGAATATGGAAGTAATTAAGCCTTGGATCACCCGAAGGGTAACTGAACTTCTTGGATTCGAAGATGAAGTGCTTATTAACTTCATACACAGTCTTCTGGATGCAAAGGTAATTTACTGTTTTTAATATTGTCATTTTTCCTCCTAGTGTGTATTTGTTGAAATTATATTATATTTATTTTATCTAACATCTATTTGCTTTTAGGTTGTGATTGTGCAGTCTTACTCCTCCTTAAACTAAACTATTGTTGATGTATATGCATTCATGCATTTTTGGCTATTTTCATTGCTTTATCACCAACTTTTTGATTTTTGATATATCTATACTTTAATTTTTTCACCATTTGGTCACATTCTATTCGTTTTGATGCAGGAAGTGAATGGGAAAGAAGTTCAAATACAAATTACTGGATTTATGGAAAAAAATACTGGAAAGTTCATGAAAGAGCTCTGGACACTTCTTCTCAGTGCACAAAAAAATGCCAGTGGTGTTCCTCAGCAGTTCTTGGATGCCAAGGAAGAAGAACTCCTGAAGAAGAAGGTGCTCTTGACTCTTGATATGCCATTTGTTGGATCTAAATTCTCAAAATACCTTTTCTCTTTACTTTTAGGGGGTTTCTGACAGAAGTTTTGTCTTCTGGATGTTTTAGGCCGAAAATGATCGGATAACAAGTGAAGTTCAGAGGAAAAAAGATAAGGAAGGTAGAGAGCTCATGGAAGAGAGGCTGAAGAAACTGGTAATACTACTCTGTACATGCTGGAGTCACATTTTATAGAGCCGAGATTTTGGTTTTAACTTTCATTTGTGTTTCTATGACGTTCAGCTAGCTTCTGCAATTATTTGGGTTCATGTCCTTTACCTCAAACTACTGTAGGACGGTGGATTTGATTCCAAGGATAATGATACAGCATCAGACCCAACCTTGAGGCTCAGGGATTCTGGTTTCTATGATCGTGACGGGAAGGAAACTGACAAGAGGAATGGTGTTAGAGCAAGGAGCAGGTGAAATGGATTCATTCGTTTTTTAATAATTACATGTGATGTTATTTGTCTTTTTTAATGGTTTCCCCGTGGGTCAAGCTTCAGAATACCAGAATATAAACTAAAATTGTTTTAGTTTCTTACAATGGGTGGATTATTAAGTTATGTTTATATATGGTGGAAGAGGTTAGTCATAGTTCTAGCTGATGACCTGCCAGGGTGAAAATATACCGTGTAACTCACTTTATCCACAAGAGATCTATTTGTAGAATAAGCTGGATTAACAAGTTAACAAACTTAAAAATCATTCTTGAATCCAAAGCTATATCCTACTAGTGCTCATATTTTACCATGCCAATTGACAACCATAAAATTGCCTATATTACTTAAAAATCTCAATGAGAATTACATTAAATTGTTGAAACTTTCAGCTTTAAGAAGTCATTTGAATTCAATGTTAATTATTGATGTGATATTTGAACATTATATTATATGTGGTTGGAATTACATCTTCAATTTTTCTCAAGTGTTGTCAATCATGACATACACATTTCATTTCAACTTTCCCCCCCAATTAGTTTTAGCTGTTATTTAAGTATTTTATGACTAGAGAGAACCTTGACGGACTTGGCTCTTTGAAACTTTGCAATTGAGATCTTGAGTACTAATTTGTTGTTACTCTATTATAGGCATTCTAGGTCCCCACATTCACCTGCAGTTTCTGCTTCACCTCACCGGTAACACTTAAAAACTAAATTCTAATTATATTTTTCATCTTTATTTTGAGTTGGATTTGGATGACTGAAAAATGTGTTTGCTATCTGTTGCAGAGGTTCACCTTCAAGGTCAATGAGCAAATCATTTTCAAATTCTCGAAGTTATTCAGGGTATGCTTGTATATTTGCTAACTTAATTTCCTTTTTGACTTGATTCATTTTTGTGCCTTTTCCCATTCGTTTATCCAAATTTGGTGCATAATTAAATATGCAACTTGGCCAGTTGTTGGATCTTCATTTTGTTCCCCACCTATCTAGTCTTCTAATAACTATAATACTATGCATTTAATTTTAATTTGGATTTGTCATTTTGTATTAATGGGTGTATGTTGTTTAGTGGTAGACACAAGTCAAGGAGTGTATCCAGGTCTACAGAGGCTCGAGGACGCTCTCCTTCTTCTGAAAGGATTCGCCGATCTCCACGACGACGATCTGTTTCTCCTCACAGGCATTCACCACGTCGTTCTCCTCATAGGAGATTGCCTTATTCAAGGAGAAGATCTAGATCCCGCTCAAGTTACAGATCTCCTTCTCCTGTACGACGTAGAATGCATTCTCCATTCCATCGAAGTTCGCCTTCTTTCCGTCGACGTAGATCACCTTCTCCAGTGAGGCGACGTAGATCACCTTCTCCAGTGAGGCGACGTGGATCACCTTCTCCAGTGAGGCGGCGAGGATCACCTTCTCCTGTGAGGCGGCGAGGATCACCTTCTCCTGTGAGGCGGCGAGGATCACCTTCTCCAGTGCGACGACGTAGATCACCTTCTCCAGTGCGACGACGTAGATCACCTTCTCCAGTGCGACGACGTAGATCACCTTCTCCAGTACGCCGGCGTAGATCACCTTCTCCAGTACGCCGGCGTAGATCACCTTCTCTTGGGCATCGACATAGATCACCTTCACCTATTGGACGACGGAGGTTGCTTTCACCTAGACGAAGAAGATCTCCTGTCACTCGGCATAGGTCACCTTCACCAGGGCGTCGAATACCACCAACCAATGTACGACATAGATCAGACTCCCCTATGCAGTCCCCCTCCCCTATACGACGAAGGTATGGTAGTAGAACTCCTCCACACTCTCCATCTCCATTGCGACGTAGGTCTCCTATTTCTGGTAAGAGAAGATCTCCTAGTATCTCCCCACAAAGGTCTCCTCGAGATGATTGGAGTTCTCAGTCTCCTGTACGGCGTGTATCTCCATCTCCGATTAGAAAAGATTCCCCAAGACACCAAAAAAGTCCTTTGCAGTCTTCTATGGGGAGAGTCAGGTATAGTGGCACTCAAGAAAATGCTTGAATAATATTATTGTGTTTTGTCTTGGGGGTGCATAAATTTATTTGTGATAATAGTGAAGCTTAATGTTTGTACTCTACACTCTGTTTGGAACTGCAAAATTTTGTAGCAATGGTTTCAATCATGTTTGTTCTTGAAAGTAAATTTATAAAATCTTCGGGGATACATATGTTGCAGAACCCAAGAAAGATTGTCATCTGAGGCAAATCAACCCTCTAGTCCTTTAGGGCCTATACGAAGAGATAAAGGTGGCAGAGCTTCTCACTATAATTCAAAAGATTCAATGTCCACACCTGAGAAGTCTCGAATTCGATCTGTATCTCCAGAAGCAAGGAGTGAGACCAGCAGTGAAGGGAGAAGGTAGTTGTTCTTGACTTCATGCTACATTCTTATCTTCTCATCATTGCTCAGATTTTGAATGTTCATGCACATCTATTATTTGGTTTTGAAATGTTTAGTCCTCATGAGAGCCCTGTGAAGCAAAGAAGGGAAAAATTGACCAATGAAAGAAGCTTGAGTCCTCTGAAGAAACAAAGAACCCATAAACCTAGCATTGACAGCCCAGAGACAAGAGCCGAAGCAGAAGAAACATACTATTCCAGGTTTGATGTTGAATTGGATTACTTTCAGTTATTTGGTTTGCTTTTTTTTAAGAATATAAGTTAGTATTATAAATTATTTATTATTTCGCTTGCTCCTTTTTCTCATTCTCTTTATATATTTGACAGAGAAAGCAGAGATCCTAAAATGAATTCATCACAAAAGATATCAAAACATTCCCCGGTTAGTATGCGGAAAGGTTCACCTGCAAAATATCGTCATGAGGATGAGTTTTCTCCTGAAAAGGTGGCAGCTCATCCAACTTCTGAATATCGTCATTATGATAATAATGATGGGAGAAAGACAGGCCGGGATATAAAACGGTAATATGTTTGGCATACTGCAGCTGTCCTAACTAATTTGAGTGCCTGTACACTGCATAAATATCTGATAATAGTTAACTCTGTTGGCAGTGATAAATCTTCTGGAAAGGGCAGTGAATTTCCTGCTCAACAGAAGACATCAGCGGACAAAGAAACTTTTTCCCGGGAGAAGCCTCATGAATCCTATGCTGTAGATATTAAGAAATCAGATGACAAGGACCAATCCCATTTTGCCAAAAGTAGTGACCGGCACCACAAATCTGAAGCCACTCAAGATCTAGTTGGAAAAAATGATCGTGCCAATCAGAGTGCTTCATATGATTCTGTTTCTGAGGAGAGTGGTAAGCATAGACGGGAGGGAAAGGATAGGAGAAAGCATAAAAGGTCTGAGAAAAAGTATGCGTCTTCCGACGGAGATTATAGTTATGATTCTGAGTTAGAGGACAGGAAAGAAGCTAAGAAGAGGAAAAAAGAGGAGAAGAAGCTGCGGAAGGAGGAGAAGCGTCGAAGACGTGAGGAGAGGCGTCGCAGAAGGGAAGAACGGCGTGCAGAGAAGCTGAAAATGAAGAGTAAAACAGACTATATTTCAGATGATGAGGAAGCTGAACGAATGGATTATCATCACAGTGATAGTGAAGAGACACCATCTGAGCAAAAGAAGCTTGAGATTGAATTACGGAACAAGGCTCTTGAATCCCTCAAAGCAAAGAGGGGCATGAATAACTAAATGCATCACTTTCGAGTTTAAGTCATTTTATGCTTTAAAAACTTCTTGAGAAATATCTTAGTTTGTTTAAGAAACTAGGCTTTATAAATGTTATGTTCATTATTTTTGGGTAAATGTTTGATGTTATCTATCTTTAATGCTGGCAGCGGAAAGGGATAAAGCTTTCTGAGCAAATCTGTTGAGTACAACTCTTTGCAGACATTGCCCTGTTTTTACTGGTAATATTTGTCTCCCCTTCGTTGGGAATTTCATGTTTTCTGGGTGGTGCATCTTGGTTCTGTCTCTTTATATTTTTTCTGCTATCTTGGTTTGTGGTTTCTCGATTGTTTTGTTATTTTTCCCTGTGGCTTTGATGTGGTTGGTAATGTTGACTAGTTTCTTTAGACCAGATTAATCCTGAAGGTCTTGGTAATATTATTAATGAGGTTTATACTAAATTAGCTTTCTGGTCAATTGGTAGATGAATTTTATGTCAACTCTAGATGACCTGGTGAGAAGACCATGTGCAGATCTATATTTTGAACCTCAATTCAGGTGAAGTTTTTCATTCTTTTGGCATTTTTTTTTTGGTTCTAGAAGAGCTTCATAAGTAATCTGTTGTATGGTGCATAGGTGGTTCTTCCTCGCTGTATATTTTTCAAAACTAACTTTGCATATTAGTAGTTGTTCCTGGGCTGTGTTTCCTGGAATTCTCCATGTATTTTTGGGTCCTACAAGGTTGATGTAGCTGTATGCTTTGTACAAATGTGTTGTTGGGGTGCCTACTTTGATTGTGTGCAAGAGTTTGGCGATTTTTTTTTCAAGCATTCTGCTTTAGTGAGGTTTATTGTGGTTGCTTCGTGTAGAGCAATTAATTTTAATTTCCCTGCTTCGTGGCAATGTTAAGTTCATGCAGAGTGTGGTTGTTTGTTGCATTCAAAGAAATGCTTGTTTCCAATTTTCCTTAGTTGCAATGCAAATACCTTTATTTCCGTCCTTTCTGTGCTAATGAGAAACTTCAAGGCTTGTTTGTCCATAGAAATTCAGAGGGTTGTTTCTTGTGCTGCTTGAGTAGTATACTATCGATACTCGCCGAGTATGAAATATGGTAATTTTTTAAAATTGAAGGCGTGGCTACTGGCTTCCTTAATGAAATTTAAATAATATAAATTAACTTTTTGTAGATTGTTGTGAAAACGTTTTCTGTGGGCCATTTTCTTTTCAGAGATTTTTTAATAAAAATATAAAAAAATAATTTGAAAAATGATTATACAAGTCTTAAAAAAAGGAATATAAAAGAACTAATTAGAGTATTATTTTTAAGTGACTTCTGAAATAATTTATGAAAATGTATATTGAGGAATTATTATAACGTGTCCTTTTTGTTTCGTAGCATTGCACTGTACATAATGTTTTTGATTAGTCGTGCATTCAGGTGATTGGTAATGTTTAACTTTTAGTGTTTCAACATATATAAAGTGATTTTTAAATATTTTTGATAAATTAATGAAAGATAATTTTATTTTTAAGAAAAGTCAATTATGGTTTTTTTTCTTCCACAAGTTATTTAAAAATTTCAAAATAATATGTATTATTTTTTTATATTTGATTTATATTTTTTTAAAGTTTGGATGAGTACCTACAAAAATTGGAACCAGTTTTTTTTTTTTTGAATTGGTTTTTATGAAAAGTCCAAATAATCTTAACTCGAGTTTTTAAACATTTTTTAAATTTAAAATAATATAGTTATTATTTAAATTTTTTTTCTTCTAAACCGTGGGTACATATTCATTATGTTGGAGTTATTATTTCAGAAAGTGAGAGCAGAGGAAGCGAGGAAAATAGGAGTCTATGCCTTTCGGTATAACATTTCAATTGGCATTGTGTTTGGAATTTATATGAAATTTCTTTGAGCTAATAAAATTAAATTTTTTTTTTCATTTTTCATGAACCTGTATTAACTGCTTTGTTTAGTTTTATTGTAAATTTTATGATATAAAGTTTTATTTAATAAAGTTGTATACTTTTCACTATATTTTCTGGGTCTAGGGTTTATCGAACGAGATCCTTGGGCAGTTGCGCTATAAAAGTCATGCGATTTCACCTGGTCTGGACTCTGGACTCCATCCAAACGACAGTAAAAACATACTGCTACTATTCTCGCCTTGAACGATGGTCCCAATTATTTAAATTGCTCATGAAACAGTCAAGGTTCAGCATAACATTGTTTTTTTATTTTTATTTTTACTGAAACATAACACTTTTAAATTAACATTTTACCTATCTCATCTAAATCTTGCAAGTACGCAGCTCATGTACCGCGCCTAGTCGCCTAGACTCACATCACTTCTCTATTATGCATTAAACAGTTAAGCAATAAAAAAACTGTAAGTGATTAGATGGAATTTACCATCGTGTTTAAATAAAATTTGTTATGCTAATCAGTAATCACTTGAAGCATAATTAACTTTCTCTGCTCCCACTTTTAGTTTAGTTTTATACTTTTATCTGTCTAGGACTAGTTATTATTGAACTTTAATTTGAATCTTTTTTTAAGCTTTTAATATAGTCTACGAAGGGTAATAGACGCGAGTATTAAGTATACTATGTTAAAAACTAACGATATACAGTATATACTTATTTGTATTTATCTATATTTACGTGACTGTATTATGTTAATGGCCCACACAAGAACAACCAACAAGCAAATTCGGAAACTTTTTTTCAGGCGAGGTAAATGCTAGTCGTAATTGAGTGTTTGAATTTGAAAGTATTTCCTACCTTATATTGGGGTACTGTACCCTTATCCTAAAATTTTAGTGCATTATTTTTTTGCGAAGTTAGCACACTAATTGACGGATGAAAACATAGCTAGAGGGGAACGTCATTTTCTGTGGTATGTGAACGCTTGGTGTTGGATATTTGCCTAATGGATAGTGTGTCAACGTGGCTGGAAGCAATTGGCTAGATTCTGGTTACCTCTTCCATTCAGATAATTGGCAGAAAGAGCAAAGAAAAATAATGGTTGAGAGGCTAAGGCAGTGATAGTGAGCCAGTCCTGTTGAAGTCGAGGGTGAGCTTGGAAATCCATCCATGGCTCCCACTCTTACATCAAATTCATCTCTCTTAGCCACGACGCCTCATTCAAGGTTGAGCCTCCGTAATCCAAGGGTGAGAGTGTTTGCTAAGAAGTCTGGATCATTCCCATCATTTGGGCTAGGCAAACCCAAAGACGATTCTTCTCCTGAAGAAGGAGACACCTCATCCAATTCCAACCCCTTTCGTTTGAACTTGGGAAAGTTACCCGACGTAACTTCCTTGATCCCTGTTCCAACCAACAACACTTCTTCTTCGCCAGGCTTTTCATTTGGAAACCCAAGGCGCAAGGACCCTTCCACCGTCTTTGTCGCTGGCGCATCAGGCCAAGCTGGTATTCGCATTGCACAAACGCTGCTTAGGGAAGGTTTTAGTGTACGTGCTGGAGTCCCCGAACTTGCTTCTGCACAAGAACTCGCTCGTCTTGCTGCTCAATACAAGGTAAACACACTCATCAATAACTTCCCCCTCTCTTCAATTTCTCATTCTCTCCCCCCTCACTCACCAAACTACACAACTCACTCTTGCCGCTCCCCTTTAAATTCAACTTTTTTCTTTCAAATTTTATATTTGCTTTAATCATATTTAAGAATATGATCAACTTGGCTATTACACAAATCACAATCAAAAAGGACATAGTTATGAAATTATGACTTGTATGTATTCTCGTTACTTAAATATAATGGTAATATAAAATTGCTATTTCAAGCACTTTAACCAGAGTGCGATTCCGTATGATATAATATCGCATTACAAATTCTAGTGTCAGTGGAACCACAAAATTGATCTATACCATGTAAAAAAACTATGCAAATAAGACCCTACGACTGAAGTACAAGTTTGAAATGATATTAAGACTAATTAATAATATCTGATGTGGCAACAAAGTGTACTAATTCACTGAGCATGCCGGAGAAATCACCAATAATATAGAGCAATGAATGGGAGCATCAATTGAACTTATATGAAAGAAAAAATATTGGTGATACCAATCTCTAATTAACACCTAAAGAGAGAATGAGAGTTAAAAGAGTAGGATTGTTCATAGTTTGCACTTTTTAAACAATCGAATCGAATGAATCTATTTTATAAAACAGGTTAATAGAATTTTTTTTAAAAATGAGTCGATTTGTTTGAAAATGGATTGAGTTTTTTCAAAATAAATTTGTTTGATGCATTTTAATTATGGACTTTATTCTCGGAATCAATTTTTTTTTTTTTTTATAAAATCAAATCAAATCAATTTAAACTAAAACGTTATATAAAAGTGGAATGGTTTACTAAATCAATTTTAAAAAATAGTTCATGTCAATATTTTTCTCAAAATAAATTAATTTTTTATTAGTTGGGTCAGTGTTGAATGAGTTCGACTCGGTTCATTTTTTCACAACTCTATAAAAGAGAGAAAAATATAAGTATGATATGATGCAATAAAAAGAAGAAAAAAAATATAAGAATATGACTGACGTGTATAATATAGAAAGGTGTCAGCTAGTATTTGTGTTGTATAAAATTTGTATTTGGCAGTGTATTCCATTTGGAGATACTAATGCATGATGAGCAACGCAGATAATATCAAATGAACAAGCAAAGCGTCTGAACGCTGTGCAGTCAAGTTTTGAGAATGCAGACTCAATAGCCAAAGCAATAGGCAACGCCAGCAAGGTGGTTGTGACCATTGGTCCCACAGAGAATGGTCCAACCGCAGAGGTGTCCACATCAGACGCCTTGCAAGTGGTTCAGGCCGCACAGCTCGCAGGAGTAGGCCACGTGGCAGTCATCTACGACGAGACCACCGCCGGAGCCTCTACCTACAACGTACTCGATGGCCTCTCCTCCTTCTTCAACAACCTCTTCTCCCGGTCTCAACCGTTGACCATTCAAGAGTTCTTGCAGAAGGTCATTGAAACGGACGTCAAATACACCTTCATCAGGACAAGTTTGACCGATGATTTCACACCCGAGAGTTCCTACAATGTTGTCGTCTTAGGCGAAGGAAGCGCCAGTGCAAACGACTATAAAGTAATGTAATGTATGCGATAATATCTGATCGATATTGTATCTCTTTTCCCCTCCCTTTGTTACATTCTTATCTCCATACTTGTATGTAGGTAATAGTTTTTTAGAAAATGATGGTTGTTATAGGTAGCCAAGTCCAAGATTGCATCGTTGGTTGCCGATGTCTTTTCCAACACTGAGGTAGCAGAAAACAAGGTATTCTTTTACATTAGCTGGATTATGCATCTAGTGTTTGTTATATCTAATTGAGATATACATTTGAATGAATACTGTTATATCCTCCACAGTAAAATCTTCTGATTAATTAATCATGTTAATACTTTGGCATCGAATGGAATAGTAAATTTGAAAATATAGAAATCATATATTAACAGAACATTTTGGATTTTTATATTTGACAAGTTATAAAGATCGAAGCATTCTGTTGATCAATACATTTTTCTGTCTAATAGGTTGTGAAAGTGTACTCGGATCCCAATGCTCCCTTGAAGCGTGTAGATGAACTTTTCAAGTAAATCAGCTGATATAGCTTGTCGTTTCTCTTTTTCATTACAGCATGCATGTTTGGTTTCATGTTTGAATCATCAAAACAAAAAAATCACGTTAAATTATCGATTAATGTGATTTTAAATAAATGTTCATATGTTTTAAGTTAAAGAATTGAGCCCAGAATTGATTTTCAACTGAAACAACTTTAACTAACTCTAACTAACTCTAACATTATATATATATATATAATC